GTCCCACCTCATTAAAAGGAAGACATTTTTTATATAAAAACCTTTCCATTTTCATTACATTCTTTATTTCAGACCCAGAAAGGTCATCACCGGGTCTCAAATATTACTAGTTATGCAAATAGCAAAACGCCTTGATAGGTGGGTGTCAGTCTGGAGGAGGCGGTCTTCCTAGCCAGGCTGAATTTGCATGCAGACCACCGCAGGTAACGCAGACATGTGATGCTAAGCCTCTATGTATGAAAGGGGCGGGGCCAGGGACAGTCAGGCTGGGGAGGAGAGCATTAGATGATGCTGGATTTCCTCCAGCCAGGAAATGAGACGGAGCTCTCTCTGACTTGCTGCAGCTTCTAATGTACATTGTGAGAAGCTCCCAGACAGCAGAGACATCAGAGGAAGCAATTTCAGTCAGAGTTCAGCTTTAATTTTTATAAACAGGCTACCAAACAAGTTCTACATCTGCTGGCAAGTAGGATCGTTGCACCATATTCCCATTATCCCACACATGGACAGGGGGGGGGAAAAGGGAGGACAGAGGGAGGGCAACTCGCAGAGGTTCGGTACTCACTGTAGTGTGCGACCAATAGGAGTAATCGAAGTTGAAGTTCTTTGGAGCATCTTTGGGCTGTTTTGGGTTGGAAATACCTACAAAGAGAAGGGGAAAGTCTTCATGAGATCACCGGCAATACAAGAGATCTCCACCACAGAACCTTGGATCCTGGACAATGGCGGCTCTATCACTGCCATGGACAGACCCATTTAGACCGGGGGGGTGGAGCCAATCTGTCCGATGCAGCAGCCAACAGACACAAGAAGCCATCATATGGGAGATTCCATCATCAGTCATGTTGTACAGACCGCTCAGCTGTCATCCAGATCCTCAGCTTCACCACCTGGCGAGTCAATGGCCTGGGAGAAGCAAGCAGAGCAGGGGGTGTGTTGACCCGTCACTGGCTGCATGCTTGTACCCGCTCCCTACCCGCTCAGTGACCCGGGTAGGGAGAAAGGATCGGGATGACACTCCTGGAGCCGGAGTGTTCAAAATCAACTCAGTAAAAGCTCCTGAAACATCCAAAAATAACTAAGCCTGAGAAGGAAGCTTCCTCACATGTGGTCGTGCCCTGCATCTGGATGACGCATTTGGAATCGTGGGCAAACTCCCGGGAGTTAAACGGACGCACGCGGACAGCGACTTTCACCGAGGCACCCGCCATCTTCACGCTCAGCCCGAACCGTCAGATCTGCAATAGAAAAGATGTAAAACAGGTTTAGTCCCGCGGAGGACCAACAACTCCGTAATACAAGAAACAAAATAATAAAAGTATAAAAAGAATAAATGAAAATACTAATAAAGAATAATATCACTCGGGTCACCTGCAGGTCCCTCTTCCCAGTCTTCAATGCTGCAAAATAGGTGCAACCCAATGCTGCTGCCACCTATGCGAGCGCAGGCCAGCCTTATGTCACACCCCCAGGGGGCGGTTCCTTGACACACAGTCCACAGGAAGTGGGTTAAATGATGCAGGGTGTCATATTCCCATATTACTTCAATGATTATCTGCACAGCATCTGCACAGTGTACAGAAGGGTTACAAACTCGTTCAGTTTACATTCCGATGTCCCTGTCCCATTCGGGAGATTCACCATCGTTTCCTGTCCTAGAGACACAACAGGAAGTGCAAGAAATTCTACTCTTGTACAGTTGTCACCGGAACCGATGCCTCTGCTGGAAGACGGAACCTCATCGCTTATTCTCCGTTACTGGCAAACAATGTGCACACGCATGTAACACATCGCAGAGGATTTCTATCAGTTATGGGGTCACCCTGTGATGGGGAGGAGCATCAGACACAGAAATCCGGTATATTATATGGTGGGCCGGTTCCCTAGTGATGGGATAGTGGTGTCACCTCCATACACAGCTTGAGTTGTTGTCTGCAGGTCCTCCCTGCTACGGTGTCACGCACACACAATGGTGTCAGCAAAGTACTGATGTGTGTCAGCTGATGGCAACCAGAGCCGGTGCAGTCATCCCGGCAGGAAGTCGTATTGTTTCCTCAGGGTGGGGTGACACGCAATTATTCTTTATTAATCCTGGACACTCCCGTCAGGATTGCTGAGATAAGCTCTCCTCCATGAGAACTTCCTTCCGCCCATCGGCCAGAACATTGGGACCAGAGAGATGGGGGGGAGGGAAGGCCCAGTGATGGACGGGGGGAGGGAAGGCCCAGTGATGGACGGGGGGAGGGAAGGCCCAGTGATGGACGGGGGGGAGGGAAGGCTCAGTGATGGACGGGGGAGGGAAGTCTGGCCCGTGTAGTCCGATCCAATAGAAGAGATCTTGGAGATCAGATTGCTGATAAAGTCCATGGTTCTGGTTCCTATAGGAAGATGTCTAAACACACAGAGCATCGCAGGTTGTTGTGTACGATCTCTCGCCACTTCCTACAATTAGCTCAGTGAAGTTTACGTTGCTGATGAGAAGAGGGGCCGCTGTCGAAAGCGACTGCACTGTATGTAATGGTTAGTTCACCATCTCCAACCCTCCTGAATGCACATGGCAGCAGAGGCCGCTAGAACTCTCACCTCCGAATGGAGAAACCATAAAAAGAAATACATCAAGAACGTATGGAATGGTCTCGGCACGGCCCAGATTTATTATACAAGCCTGTGCCAAGTCTGGAGTTACCCTTTAAGGAAAAGCCACAACCTCAGGAGGATAACAAAAGCCGTGTGATCCCCACTCTGTGCTCCCTTCTAACCAGTGCCCTCGTGAGACGTTCAAAGTCATCGTCCAGGGTCACCATCCGCTTCCGTGACTGAGGTGCTTGGCTCAAGACGGAGGAAATGCTTCTTCCTGCCTGCAGCAGACTGATCACTGGGCGAGGGGAGACTGAGGAAATTCTTGCTGCTGCCTGCAGCAGACTAATGGCATCATCTCAGACTAGACAAAAGTCAGTCTGGAGTTTAGGGACACTTTATAAAAAAGGATGTTTTCTATAAAATCAGGGCTGAGAAAATTAAAGATTCATTTCTCGATTAATCGTTAAACTTTTTGATCGATTAAAATTATTTTGATCGCTAATGAAAAACAAACACTCACCTCTACGCCGGCTTCCAGGAGTCCCGTCGGAGATGTTTACAGCACAGCAATGAAGTAATAAAATGAACTAGGATCACACTCATCCAGCACGTTATTATTCTGAGTTGCCCCACTCAAGCGGCGGCCATATTGAGTGGGGCACGTGAGATTAATAACGTGCTGGATTAGTGTGATCCTAGTTCATTTTATTACCTCAATGCTGTGCTGTATGTGTATAGGTCATTGCTGTGCTGTATGTGTATAGGTCAATGTAGTTGGATCTGTATGTGCGTTATAATTAATCCAAATTAATCGATTAAAAAACATTTTGATTAAACGAACATTTTAATGAGTACCAGCCCTACTATGAATATGATCCTGTTGGTGTATATTGTGCCAGGAATATAATTCAGTAAGTGGTACAATCAGTGAAAGTTGAAGGCGGAGAGGCACGAGGAGTTAAATCTGAGCCCGGGGAGGGATCGTCTGGCCCGGCCACCACCCCTCATCATGCCTTAGCTCGGAAAAATCCCAGGAATTTTCCTCCCCGCTCCGACACTTCCAGGAGGAGAAGCCGGACAATGAAGTGAGCGATGGAAGGCCGGGCTGTGTCCATGCCGAGCTCCCCCCGAGTGTGATGTACACACAGGCCGTCACCCAACATCCCTTCACACCTCCTCCCTGCGACTCCGCAAATAGGTCAACACAACGAATGTTTCATGTGGTTTCCCCAAATTCAACTGAAATTGCAACTTTTACCGTCACAGAACGAGTCAACCCAATGAAAGGAATCCCTCGCGAGAGCACAAACCTTACTTCTGAGACGGGAGGTTGAGTGAACCCCTCGAGTGACTGCAGGAGACCCGCAGCAAGACTTGGTGGCCCCGGGCCCTGAGGTCTGATCAATAAGGTGCGCAGTAACCGCAGAAGGTCTCCATGCCGGGGCTCCGAGACGCCACCATAATTGACCCAAAAGCACAAGAAGAGTCGCCTCCAATATGCTCCGATCTTATAAATAGGTTTTGGGATTCTGTCCTGTGGAGCGATGAAACGAAAGTGGAACGTTTCAGCCCCATGGATCAGCGGTGTGTCTGGAGGAAGAAGAATGAAGCTGAAAAGAAGACTCCTACTACAGGTAAGCATGGTGGTGATCGGCTCTGGGGCTGCTTTGCATCCTCAGGCACTGGAAATCTGCAGCTTGTGGAAGGCAAGATGGATTCATTGAAGAATCAGGAATCCGAGGAGAAAATGTCATGCCGTCTGAGGATGCTGAAGCTTGGGTGTGATTGGACCTTCCAACAGGACAAGGATCCCCAAAAAACCTCACTGGGCCTTCCAACAGGACAAGGATCCCCAGCAAACCTCACTGGGCCTTCCAACAGGACAAGGATCCCCAGCAAACCTCACTGGACCTTCCAACAGGACAAGAATCCCCAGCAAACCTCACTGGGCCTTCCAACAGGACAAGGATCCTCAACAAACCTCACTGGACCTTCCAACGGGACAAGGATCCCCGGAAAACTGCGCCGTGCCTTCCACGCGAAAAGGATCCCCGCGAAACCAAGCCTTCCCACGCGACAAGGATCCCCGGCAAACTGCGCCGGGCCTTCCCACGCGACAACGATCCCCGGCAAACCTCAGATTCCACCAAGGTTTGGCTGCAGAAGAAGTTCTGGAAGATCCTAAAGTGGCCATCACAGTCAACTGACTTGAACCCCATAGAAAAGCTCTGGTGAGACCTGAAGGAGGAGGTTGCAGCACACAAACCCAAGAATATTAGAGAACTGGAGGCCATTGCTCACGAGGAACGGGCTAAGATCCCTCAGGAACTGGCATCTGGCTATACATCTAATTTGCAGCCGGGCGTATCAGCAGGAGGCGCTCTACTAAGTTCTAAAGATGGCTGCCACGAAGGGGGGGGGGCATTCTGAGACCGCAGAAGTCATGAAAAGTTGCATTTTTAGTTGAATTTGGGGAAACCACTTGAAACGTTCCTTGTGTTGACCCATTTCTATTGCTTTTGTTTGATTTGTTCATTGCAAACAGGTCAAAGTCATGAACCTTAAAAGCTGGACGCCGGCTGTCATTTTTAAAGGCACCGCTGATAACAGAGAGGGACAAAAGACATATCGGCAGTATTGCTCTAGGGCAGGGGTCAGCAACCTTGGCAAGCCAGTCATTGTGGAACTACAAGTCCCATGAGGCATTGCAAGACTTGACACTTACAGGCATGACTACCAGAGGCATGATGGGATTTGCAGTTCCATCACAGCTAGAGTGCTTAAGTTGCCTGCCACTGCTCTAGGATAACAGGCTGTCTAGGCATCTAGGTCTCCGGTGCTCAATCTGCAGCCGTCTGGAAGCAATTTCTCTGACCGTCTCCTGTCCCGCGTCCGCAGTCTCTGACCGTCTCCTGTCCCGCGTCCGCAGTCTCTGACCGTCTCCTGTCCCGCGTCCGCGGTCTCTGACCGTCTCCTGTCCCGCGTCCGCGGTCTCTGACCATCTCCTGCACCGTGTCCGCGGTCTCTGACCATCTCCTGCACCGTGTCCGCGGTCTCTGACCATCTCCTGCACCGTGTCCGCGGTCTCTGACCATCTCCTGCACCGTGTCCGCGGTCTCCTGCAGCATAACAATCACTGACTATAATGTGCGGTCCCTTGGTAATGAGAGACACTGGGGCCCCGCTGTTTACAGCTGACCACCATTGCCCGAGGTGAACAGACATCAATGGCCGCCTCTCTCCAGTGCCCTCTCACAGTCAGCAGAGTAACATTCCGGCATGCCGAGCATTCCGCTGGGCGAGTGTACCGGCACACAGATGGTGAGACACATAACTGGAGGCTCGGCATTCCACCACAGCAGGTGACACGCGGAGCCGACCGTACAGGAAGTCCCGGAGGAAGAGGACGCGCAGAGACAGGATTCCCCAAACTGCGGAAACAATGATCCCCGGCAACAGAAGGATAAAGAGGAGGAATTCAGATTAATAACAGACGAGTTCTGCAGAAGATAAAACGCTGGTCACAAACACTCCCATTCCTCTTCTTCACTCTCTCTATCCTGTCCTGGTGACCACCGTTCCCGGGACAGTGGATTTCACCTCTTCTTCATCTCACTTCCTGTTTCCTTCCATCAGGACAGGAAGTGAAAAGAA